GAATATTCAAGTTAATATTATGAATTTCTTGGAAAACAATTACTTTCATTTCAGTTTGAGATAAAAAATAGTGATTTTAATTGAAAAAAGATTTTATTTTATTTTATGAATAAAATTACGAATTGAGTTAATTTATAGAGTGAACATTGCAACAAAATTTTCTAATGAACACACTAACATGTGCATTTATTTAGTCGTGACCGAACGAATACACTGCTAAATATGTCGTTTCTATTTCTCTTTTCTTTGTTTAGAATTTCTGTTCTTACCATTAGCATTGGATACTGATTGACAATTTTCTTTCTGATGAAGATGTTTGTTAGTAATAATTTCAATAGAATTCAACTCTATAAGAAACGGAAAAGATGGAAGTTTCTGTCAATTCTCATTATGCTATTTAAAATCGGCAAATATGATTTTTAGTTTGGATTTACAAATGAATTGATGAATCAATGAAAATAATAATGAAATACTTTGAAAAACCAATTGTGAAATACCAAAACGTCTACATAACGTATTTATTAGTCAAATATGTCAATGATAGTGTTTCTATATCAACGATTACTAACTATTCGAAATAATCATGTACAAAAACATTTATATCGATAAGAAATTTCTGTGAAACTTCGATTTAGTATTACGTAAATGAAATGAAAGCTCTAGTTTGTTATTTAGAAAGTGTTTTTACGATAATTCTTCGTTTATTTAAAGCAATTTTGTAAAAACATAAGTAAAGCAAAGTAGATGATGATAAAAATCCGTCATCGATGTTAAACATACTTCAACAATAAAAGAATTGCAATATGCATAATAGATTCATGTATTTCGTATATAACCATGACGAGAAAAGTAAAGTTGGCTGAACATGCATTGTTAGATAATAAATCGAAACAAAAATATTTTCACAATGAAACACGTATCCAATTCACTTAAACTATACACAATGAAATAGTTTCCGTAGGTTGTGCTGCGCATTAACGTGCAGTTTCGATAAGCATGTGAAATATTTTCAGATTTACATTCCAAACGCCTTCAAATATCAATAGAAAAATTTTCTTTCTTCGAATAACAGCTTTTCCTCATGGTTAATTATCTCAGACATTCTATTAATAGCAGAAAATGGTCATAATGATGATTATTTCTTTTGATTTATTTCCTACAAGTAATATCATTGCTTTTCAAACTGATTCTATGTTACAAGATGATTCGAGTTTTTTATTTCTAATTTCAAATTCATGTTCATAATTGAATATTTAAAAACCGAACGATTCATTTGTTAACACACTTATTGAAAAATCTGCACGATATTCAGATTCTTTCAAAAGATGATGGACCCTTGTTGAATATTTATTCATATTGACCAAAAACAAAGATGACAACAACTTGATCATCATTTGAAATTTAAGGGACGAATAGAAGAAGGTATATTGAGAAATGTGTTGAAGAAAAATTGCGACAAGAATATTTGTATTTCATCAAATCAAAATAGCATATTACTGTCACGGAAATGAGCGAAACGCCCTTTGTATCGACTAACTACTCCAACTAAGTGTGTTTTCAACAAATACATAAGTAATGACTTGCATCGATATGAAAATACGTGTATAATCATTGTACTGAATAGATAAAAGCTCATTGGTTTTCTGAAACGACCAATAATAATTTCCGATCGTGTTTTCCTTTGATACTAACACATTGTTCGATCATTCAGAACAATCTTTCTTACGAAATTTATCGAAATTATCGATTATTAATCGTTTGATGTTAGAAAGTTTGTCGAGATTATTTTGGTAACGAATTTTAACATCCAGGAAAAAAAAACTCATTGTTTCACGTCTATTCATTGTAATGATTAGCAACAGAGGAAGTTTCTCTTTGGTTGATTGAAATTAAATTCTTATTTTAAAGAGAGAAATGTTTGTGAACATTTATACTGAAAAGGGACCTGATTTGTAATGAATCAATCATTTTTGAAAGCATATCATGTGATCGAATTCTATTCAGTTGAAACAAAACGAATTTGAATAGAACTTTCTTAAATTCGTTCGAATATTTCTTAATACCGGTTTGCCTATCTGTATACTGGAAGAGATATTTGCGAATGAATGTTTGTACACTGATTGATACCTTTGTTAAATTCAATAAGTTGAGTTTTTATTTGGTCTGACCAATTTCTCAGTAGTTCATTGAGTAGTTGTTGATCTCTCGAGCGGTTATTAAAATTCATTTGTTTGAAACAAATTTATCTACGGGAAATGCATTAATTAAATATTCAATGATTTAACGTCAAAAGAAATGCTTAAATAATGTATTAATAACCGCGAAAAAAATATGTTTGTTCAACAGTTTTACGTTCCAAAGGAAAATTTTTCTTTTCGTGTTTCTCACTATGACAGGTAGTCTATCATGTATGAAATCTAATTCGTCAAAAGAACCGGTTTGCTAAAAACAAAATCGACTTTGTTTTCTGTAAAGGAGTCAAGTTCATTCCTGGCGATTTACGTATGGATAAAACAGGGCAAAGTAGACAAGATACGTTCAAGAATTAAAGAGAAAGGTCGATTAAAGCTAAATGAGAGAACGAATAAACAAAGGTTACGTCTGAATAACTTCTTGAGAAAACTATGTTTCAATATCAATTATTCCTTAACAAGAAAGCACTTGATCTTCGGAAAAGAAATACTTAATAATGAACAGAAGGTTTGAACATTGAGCGATATGTTGACTTCCACAATGTTATAGATTTGTTCACGATCGAAACTATCAAAGATTTTATGTGTATGGTAGAGAAACATCGATCGATAATTCAGTAAGATCGATTAGATTTTAGCTTTCAATACTATAAATAGAATGAATTCGTTCTAGGATAAAATAGTTACATGGTAGGTTAGCAGTTAATCATCATGTGTAATCAATGTAAATAGAGAATAGAATGGATTGACTTGTATTGTTACTCGTTTGCTCGAAAAAGTTCCTATAATTTACAATAGATTTGAAACTTTTGATAAATTATCGCAGACAATCTTTAAAAAATAAATCAGAGCATTTTATCATTTTATTCTTGAGAGTGCAAGATCAAATTGGTTTTATGATTGAGTTTGTTATGAAGAATACGAATAAAATGTCTCTGCTGTATGAATATAAACCAATCAGACATATTCGGCTGGAGGAAATAAAGCAGAACTACTGGAGATGCTCATTGGAAATAAATGTTTGAGAAAAAGCGTATAAAATTCATTATCTCTTTGTAAAAATATTTCTATCGCCAAAACGATAAGATATTTCAAAATAGTCAGAAGAAATGATAAACAGATAATTAAGTCTACTAGTTTCATTATCTTTTTATTTTCTGTAGAGTATCAGACTATCAGAACGTAGATGAAGTTAGTAAGTCGTGTTTCTCTATTCGTTGTGTGATCACCGCCGATGAGATAATCGTTTGAACGATAGGAAGTTACATATTTCTTCCCTCAATAAAGTTATCGCATAGATTTGACACAAACATCTATATGAATATAAGCTTCAAATGAAATTTCGAATAATTATTGATCGAAGTTAGATTTCTGTAGTATTGAATTATCCAATTAACCAGTTTTTTCTACAATCTATCTATTCATATCCTTAAAACGTTATTCAATAGATTATTCTTCAGGAGATCAACCATAATGACGTTTCCATTGATGAATGAATTTAATGAACAATATTCTCATGATTGACTTATCACTTCAGCATTATGTAAGATGTGAATGGTGACTTGTGCCTAAACATTTGATTCTCAATAGATTTTCTTTTGAAATGAGTACATGAGCCAGAGTACAAATATGAAATCAATCGAATTGAGGTTAATTCTACCAGAAAAAGTATTAACAACACGTTTTGTCGATTTTTTGAAAAGGTCACAAAAAGCAATTCAATCAAACGAATGAATCAGTTAATGAAAAACCATCTACTGTGTTTGCAATGGAACTAAATTTCGCTTCTTAATAAGATTTCTTGTAAATTATCATTTGACACGTATTCAAAAAGCTTAGTTGTTACAAATTTGTATATGTATAAGCAGAAATGAAGAAGAATTAAGCGATATCATTTTCTTTTCTTTATTCAGTTTCGTTTGCATTCTTCTTTCTTCAAGTTTCAAAGGTGCTTTCGTTATTTTTAAACCATATGAGAGAGATTTTCGAATACAACTCAGATGCTATTCTGTCAATACAAATATCAAATGCAATTCTTATTATTTTACAAGATCCTTTTTTTTGGTCAAGGCTTCAAAAATTAATTTCCTTCTAATCTCTCTTGCTTTTCTTGACTAACAAATTGGATTCATGAAAGCGTTTTTAATCTCATCTACAAAATACGTGTTCCACATGTGTTTAATGAGGAAAAGGTATTGTTAATTCAAATGTACGTATTTGTGACGTTCTTGTTTGAGGAATGGATTATGTTCTTCTGTAATACAAATCTAATGCAGTATTGTTTAAATGCAGCCTATATCTACTCTCATTCCCTAGCTTAGTTTGGGAGAATATGAATGATTTTGTCGGAAAGAAGATGCATTAATTGAATGTAACAAAGGATAATACCAAGCTGTTGTTTGTCATATGCGAATGACATATAAAGATCAATGAGAGCACTTTCATAAGTACGAACAGAAGTCTATCTGCTTCATAAAGAGTAGATCTAGCGACATAGCCAACTAAAGTAGAAAATATTGTCGTTTTTGACAGAACGGATTGTGACCAATCACACTGTATCTCTCTCCAAACAGGTCACCAATCAGACATAATGTATCTTTCTTCCTTTGTGACAAAGTGTATGTATTGTTCTCATCTGAAGGAGGAAGTCAGTTGATATTGAAATAAAGTAAACGGAAGAAGCAAAGCTAAATAAACCGTTACATCTGGCGACCCTGACAGTCATATCTGTGAAATTGATCGAACTGTATTTCTCTGGTACACAAACTAAGAATTTACAATAGTTAATTTAAATCTCCATATTCATCAATGGCAGGCGATGAAACGAAAGCTACAATGACAGTAGAAGAAGCAATAAAAGAAATACGATCGATGCAGCTGCAACATGACTCCGATATCAAAACAACAGGAGAATCAATCCAGAAAATTCAAGCCAAAATTGCCACTAGCAACGATGAAACTAACAAAAAAATGAAAGAAGAGTTTCAGAATATCAACGAACAATTAACATCTCAAATAACATCAATCCATGCTCAAGTTAACACGACATTAACAAATCTTAAACAAGAAATGGCCAAATTCATGGTCGAAGAAATTCAAAAACTTAACAGCGAAAAACAGACGGTAAGAGTCGAATCAAACGACTCATTGACAACGTTGATAAAAGAAATAAAAGAAATGAAGCGCGACATAGCTGATATTAGAAACGTACAATCAAATGACGATCATGTACAACAGCTCGACAGCCATCCAAATGGTGTGTTGTTCTCATCAACATCCAAACAATTTCAACAAGATCAAAACACGCCATCCACAACATTAAATAACGATGTATTATCCATTCACTCAAACTCATCGATTCTTAACAATAACCGACCACAGACAGTATTTCTTCCCACTTCAACAAATGCACCTGTTTTTCATGGAAAGCCAACAGATCGTCCGTGGCAATTTCTCATTCGCATCGAAGAATATACAGAAACGGTTCACATGTGGGGAGAAGACTTATTATTACGTGGAATATCACAATTTTTAAAAGATACAGCACTAGATTGGTACTGCCAATTACGTAGCTGTAACTGTCTACCAAGAACATGGGCAGAATTCAAACAGGCATTCGTTAAGCAATTTAATTCCCCAATTAGAATTGCACAAAAAATTCAAGAATGGAAAGAATGTAAACAAAACCAGGATGAAACAATGAATGAATTTATTATACGTTTACGAGCCTTATGGATCGAACAGTTTCCTCTAGAAACAGAAACTGACCTAATCAAGCACCTTTTCTGCAAAATGCGGCCCGATATATTAAACATCATGGGATGTCCAAAGATTAATTCTTTACAAGAAATCTTAACCGAAGCACAAAGAGTCGAAGAAATTATTTATCATCGTCAAAAACAATATAATACAGGTAAACGAACATTTTCAAACTCAAATTACAATAATAATAATAACTACTATAAAAACAACAATTCCATACCTAAACCAAACGACTGGTCACAAACAAACAATAACGGTGCATATAAAAATGATCGTCAACAAACTCAAGGAAATCAAGAAAGTCAACAACAAAAGGTGTGCTATTACTGTGGCAAATATAATCACCAATCACGCGACTGCTGGTACAAGAAACAAAGCAGCACCGTCGACTCCGATCAAACAACATCAACTTCAAAAAACGAATAGGGAGTCTCCAAGGGACGGGCCAAAGAGACTCCTCAAAACAATCAACTAATTCTACCCGTCTCACACCACAACTTCACACAATCCAGACTTCACCTACTAACACACTTACTATCCAAGGCAATGTAGGTGGTATTCCAACTCCCATGCTTATCGACACCGGATCATCCTTAACACTTATTAATTCATATTTGTTATCACAATTTGATGCACACATTCGAAAATATCTTCGCCCACCACCGAAAAATATTCAGCTCCAATTAGCCGACAAATCACCGTTATATATCAATCACACATTAAGAGTTCCAATTACTATTGATAATATCACACATTATTATACCGTTTATGTTGTCCCTCGACTAGGACGCCGTTGTATAATCGGAAACAATTTTATCAAACAGAAAAACCTACAAATTGATGGGGGACAACAGCTCGTATATTATAAACGACCTATGTTAACAAGAAATCATCACGGACAATCATCTACTAGTGAAACTGAAAAAATTAACCAAACTCAACTAACTATCAACAACACTGAAAACGCTGAACAAACACAGCAATTTACCAACGAAACGGAAAATACTGATGAAACACAACCAATGAATAATAAATTATCTCAAGTCAACGAAGCTGAATACATATTATACGCTATTGAACAGATGACAATTCCACCCTATCACGTATGCAATGTTCAGGTAAAACCGACTGTCCCATTTGCTTCCACAGAAGACAATGAAAACGACGAATATGAACTCGGCACTTATAGTCGTAATAATAGAGCACATCAGAAAACACCACTCGTCGCAAATGGAATTATCTCACCAAAAGAACATCTTCAAATTCAAACAGCAAATCTATCCAAAGCGACAATCATCATTTCAGCGGGTCAAAAACTTGCAACTATGTCACGAATGAATCCGCAACAATTATATGCTATTAATCATCTGACAACAGCTAATAACAAACAAGCAACAACGATAAATGAAACTAAACACAATGTTGACCTTTCTAATACCGATTTGACTAACGACCAAAAAGAAAAATTAGAAGAACTATTAGAAAAGTATCCGGACGTATTTACGAACAAACCAGGAAAAACAACAAAATTAAAACACGAGATACATATTAAAGAAGGCACTCGACCAATTAATGCGCCACCTTATCGATGCGCTCCAAACAGACGACAGATTATAGAAGATAATATTACCGAAATGCTTAAAGAAAAAATAATTACTCCATCTAATAGCCCATGGGCATCTCCCGTCGTATTAGCACCCAAAAAAGACGGCTCGCTACGTTTTTGCATTGATTATCGCAAACTCAACGCTGTTACAGTTAGAGATGCTTATCCTATTCCAAGAGTCGACGACACACTTGATGCTCTCGACGAAGCAAAATTTATTTCTACACTCGATCTTCGATCAGGATATTGGCAAGTAGAAATGGATCCCGAAAGCCAAGCAATGACGGCATTTATTAGCCACAAAGGCCTCTATGAATTCAAAGTAATGCCATATGGATTAACGAACGCACCTGCTACGTTTCAACGCCTGATGGATATTGTTCTTGCCGGCCTTAAATGGAAATCGTGTCTCGTATATATCGATGATGTTATTATATACTCATCCAATTTTAATCAACATATTAATGATTTAACAGAAGTATTTGATGCATTACGAAACGCCAACTTAACGTTAAAAGCATCTAAATGTCATTTTTGCCGTAATGAAATTAAATATTTAGGTCATATCATAACCAAACAAGGGATTAAACCTGATCCAGACCTTATTGCATCTGTAACAAAATTTCCAAGACCACAAAAACTCAAAGACGTACAAGCATTTCTTGGTCTAACTGGTTATTATCGGCGATTTATACAAAATTATGCCAAAATAGCAGAACCATTGCTCAAACAAATTCGTCATCACAAGAATACAAAAAATACAAATTATCACATAACATGGAATGATGAATGTGAACAAGCATTTGAAATATTAAAACAAAAATTAATTTGTAATCCAATTATGAATACACCAAATTTTCAACAACCATTCATTCTCGAATTAGATGCTTGTGCATATGGTCTAGGTGCTGTTCTTGCCCAAGAATATGATAATAAAAAATTCGTTATTGCATATGCAAGCCGGACATTATCATCAGCTGAACGCAACTATAGTGCTACAGAACGAGAAGCCCTTGCAATAGTTTGGGCAACAAAACATTATCGTCCTTACATCGAAGGAATGGAAATAATTGTTCGGAGTGATTGTCAAGCCCTTCAATGGCTCAAAGAAGCAAAAGACATTACTGGTCGTTTAGCCCGATGGGCAATGCATCTTGCAGCATTTCAAATTAAAGAAATAAAATACAAACCAGGCACTGCCAATACCAATTCAGATTCGTTATCTAGATATCCTCAAGAATCAACATCGAACAACTACGATGAAATTACAGAAATTCAAGCAGTTATTAATATTTGGGAAAATACAAATATGTTAGATAACATTAGACAAGAACAACAAAACGATACAAAATTAAAATCTATTATTGACGATCTTCGAGCAAGTGGTACACCAACATTTAGTCCAGTACGTTCACCATACGTACTCGTCAATGATCTATTATATAAAATTCGCAACACTATTAAAAATCAAGATCATCGAATTATTAGTAATAAACATCTTCTCGTTATTCCGGCGTCAATGAGAAAGAAACTTATTGAATGGGCCCATGATCATCCAATGGCTGGACATGCAGGTCGAACAAAGACGATACACCGATTATCATCACGAGTGTTTTGGCCAGCACTTCGAAAAGACGTTTATAAATACGTTCAAGGATGCATCTCATGCCAACAGTTTAAATACAATACTCAGCCACTATCAATGCCAATGCAACTGCACATGGTAACAGAACCATGGCACACAATAGGTGTTGACATTATGGGACCGTTTCCGATTACACAAAGACAAAAACAATATTTACTTGTAGTCGTCGATTATTTCACCCGATGGGTAGAATTATTTCCGTTACGAACAACAACTTCCAACACGATTGCAAACGTATTAGTAGATCAAGTATTTTGTCGATATGGAACACCTTTCTTTATTTTATCCGATAATGGACCTCAATTCATTGCAGAATTATTTTCAGAAGTATTGAAATCACTTCGTATGGGACACAAATTAACCGCCAATTATCATCCCCAAACGAACATGACTGAACGAGTGAATCGAACTCTTAAACAACAGATACGTATTTATGCCCAACAAAATCACAAAGCATGGGATGCAGAAATTCAAAAATTAGCCTTCGCAATTCGAACTTCAGTTAATGAGACAACCGGTGAAACACCAGCATTCCTGAACTTTGGTAGAGATCTTAAAGTCCCACTAGATTTACTCTACGGCGAACCAGTACAAAATTCGACATCAAATTTGCCAGATAACAAGTTAATTCAACATTACAAACGCAATCTGACTGAAACTTTACAAACAGCATTTCGAATAGTTCGCGAATATGCTGAAATACAAAAATTAAAACAAAAAAGTCAATACGACCGTCATACTACGAATAGACAATTTGACGTTGGTCAACACGTATGGGTAATGAAACCAGCTGGTCATATAGACGGACAGTGTATTACAAATAAACTAATGCCCAAAAAAGAAGGACCATGTGAAATTATAGAAAAACGGTCTCCAACAACATTTATTATAAAACGTTTATCGGACAATGTTAACCTAGGTACGGTGAACGCTGATAGAATCGAACCATATTATTACCAAGTATTAAGCGAAGAAAATGAAACAGACATAGCCAACAATAAGAACGACCAAACAAACACTACACTGGAAACATCAACATCGACCAATAATGATCTGCCTTTGCCAGTACCAATCAGATCATCAAGTCGGACTCACCGAGTTCCGATACGATACCGTCAATAAATTCAATATTCTTTTCGCACCAACGTAATCCTGACACCTTTTGTCCTATTCAAACAAAAAACGACAGGTGACGGACCAAATGGTGCAAATAAATAAAATTATTAACACATAAAACAATGCAACCAAAAAATGTGAGAACGGAAGCAAAAACAAGAAAATTGCTAAAAGCAATAAACCACTTTACACAAGATAAAGACTTTAAGGCATCTCTCCATCAAAATGCTGCCGTAGGCACGCATCGAACACATATACATATTAATATGACACGATTCCAATCAAAGCATCCAGCTGTGTACAACATCACAACACACGTCATTAAAAGAAGCCTGTAACACGATGTTATCATATATGACGTCGCGTGACAGTTGACCGATTAAAACAAAACAAAACAAAAAATTTAAAGGTGAATAAAAAGTCAATATACATATATATATACATACATATACATTTGTCTATATGCACTCTATTTCACTTACACATCGACGACGTCATCCAACATTATTCAAGTGACAACAATGAATCTGACTTATACATTAACTACCATAATTGTGCTCTATCAAAATTGTATGTCAGTTACTTTAGAACAAAATACGGACGCAAATGGCTCTATAATAACAGCACCAAATGCTGGTTTGGTCTTGTTATATCAAGGACAATATCGACCATCGAATCGCGTCATTTTCAGCACGGCAATGCTCCCAATGACAACAGAAACATGTTACTTACTACCCATTGCGGCAGCACGAAAAATACCAGCTTGCAACAACTTCACCTCTAATATACGCCACAAACGTCTCGTAGGAGATATCATTTCAATAGGCATGTCAACTGTAGCGCTAGGAACAGCAACAACAAGCTTGGTATTGACAAAAAGCTTACAGAAGAAAGTAAATGAATTTGAAGGTCAGTTACAAACATTTTCCAACCGCGTGGAAGTAGGCGAAGCCCGTATGATTCAATTCGACAAAAATCAAATTCGATTCGGATTATCCCTACAACAAACGGAACATTTAGTTAACTCAACCGTCGATCGAGTCAACCAACATTCAACAACACTTGAAATACAAAACAATCGTCTCGACGAACATCAACAATTCTTAAAATCTCTTCAACAACGCATTATCGATAATGAACAAGCCACGGCTAATCAATTTCTCCATCTAGCTATCCACGACATCACCAGCAACAAACCAACGTTATCATTTTTGCATCCATTAGACATGAATTCCGTCGTCAAAAGTATTCTCCAACAAAATAATATTTCAATACCAGTAACAGCCGAACAACTGCCGATCGTCGAACTTATTATGAAATTAATTTTAAGACAACAAATTGAATTTATACCTGCTGAACGCTATTCAAACACATCCAACATCGAAATTGGCAAATTGATGTTCACAACTTTTTATGCCTTACCAAATGAACAACAATCTGATTTCAGCATTTACAAAACTATCACTAGCCCTTTTATACATCACAACAAGATCGTACGTCTGGCACAGATGCCAACCTACATTGGTATCAACCGAAAAACAAATTCTAGTATTAGCTGGACCAACGACGACATGGCATCATGCATATTTCATTTAGTCACCACTTGTCGAGAAACACCTGCTGAAAAAGCCTCGCAATACGGTAACACCTGCTTGGAACAAATTATGATCGGAAAAGCACTTAAGAACTGCAGAACAGAACACACTTCAACTAACCTTCCATACATTCAACAATTACAAAGTGGACGATGGTTGATATCGACAAATACCACGTCTCTCCACTGCATTAAAACTCAAATCGAAGAAAGACTTACAAAAGAAGCAACTGTGTGGAATGACAACACACAAATAACTATTCCGCCAATGGCAATAATTACGGTGAATAATGGAACTACTATACAATGTCCTGGATTTAATCTACCAGGCCCAGCAATACCGGAAACACGATCAACTATTAACATTATTAGAAACCTATCTACAATCGAAGAACATAGCGATATCATTGATATACACAAGGACATTATTGCAAACACAACATGGGAAAAACTCCCCTACCTAAACGACGAAATTGATCAATTATTACAAGAAATGTCATTACAACAAGCGTCCACAACACCACAAAGCAATAATATACAGTGGCACAACCAACATTCGGGCAAACTCATGATTTGTCTAGCTATTCTCATTGCTGCATTAATAGTGGTCAGCGCTCTTATTATACTCTACTTAAAACGATCGAACAATAACAAAATTACAATTACCCTACCATAAACACACAACCAAGGAAGATATGAGTCAAGGAAAATTGTAAGAAAACAAACTTGTCAAAAAGACGTCAAGCTAAACAATAAGTCAAAGGATGATCACGTTATGCCAATTAGATTCATTTTTCCTCTCTTTGCTTTTCTTTCTCATACCTATCTCATATTATGTAGTTGAAAAGTTAAAATTCTCCTTTTCTTTGTTTATGTTAACCTTTTATGCAAAAAGTTTAGGCTTATTGGCCTAATAGTTTTTCCTTTTTTTTTCGTTTCTCTTATTCGAATTCTCGTATCGTTTGTAAACTTTATGATTCTCTCTTAGCTCCATTTTTGTCTCTATCATAATCCAAAACGACATTGTATCTTTAGGCGTTCTGGTGCACGCCTGCTTAAGAGGGGGCTGGTGTGACCAATCACACTGTATCTCTCTCCAAACAGGTCACCAATAAGACATAATGTATCTTTCTTCCTTTGTGACAAAGTGTATATATTGTTCTCGTCTGAAGGAGGAAGAGAGTTGATATTGAAATAAAGTAAACGGAAGAAGCAAGCAAAGCTAAATAAACCGTTACAGCCAGTNTAAAGGAGTCAAGTTCATTCCTGGCGATTTACGTATGGATAAAACAGGGGAAAGTAGACAAGATACGTTCAAGAATTAAAGAGAAAGGTCGATTAAAGCTAAATGAGAGAACGAATAAACAAAGGTTACGTCTGAATGACTTCTTGAGAAAACTATGTTTCAGTATCAATTATTCATTAACGAGAAAGCACTTGATCTTCGGAAAAGAAATACTTAATAATGAACAGAAGGTTTGAACATTGAGCGATATGTTGACTTCCACAATGTTATAGATTTGTTCACGATCGAAACTATCAAAGATTTTATGTGTATGGTAGAGAAACATCGATCGAGAATTCAGTAAGATCGATTAGATTTTAGCTTTCAATACTATAACTAGAATGAATTCGTTCTAGGATAAAATAGTTACGTGGTAGGTTAGCAGTTAATCATCATGTGTAATCAATATAAATAGAGAATACAATGGATTGACTTGCATTGTTACTCGTTTGCTCGAAAAAGTTCCTATAATTTACAATAGATTCGAAACTTTTGATAAATTATCGCAGACAATCTTTAAAAAATAAATCAGAGCATTTTATACATTTTATTCTTGAGAGTGCAAGATCAAATTGGTTTTATGATTGAGTTTATTATGGAGAATACGAATAAAATGTCTCTGCTGTATGAATATAAACCAATCAGACATATTCGGCTGGAGGAAATAAAGCAGAACTACTGAAGATGCTCATTGGAAATAAATGTTTGAGAAAAAGCGCATAAAATTCATTATCTCTTTGTAAATAATTAAGTCTACTAGTTTCATTATTTTTTGATTTTCTGTAGAGTATCAGACTATCAGAACGTAGATGAAGTTAGTAAGTCGTGTTTCTCTATTCGTTGTGTGATCACCGCCAATGAGATAATCGTTTGAACGATAGGAAGTTACATATTTCTTTCCTCAATAAAGTTATCGCATAGATTTGACATAAACATCTATATGAATATAAGCTTCAAATGAAATTTCGAATAATTATTGATCGAAGTTAGATTTCCATAGTATTGAATTATCCAATTAATCCGTTTTTTTCTACAATCTATCTATTCATATCCTTAAAATGTTATTCAATAGATTATTCTTCAGCAGATCAACCATAATGACGTTTTCATTGATGAATGTATTTAATGAACAATATTCTCGTGATTGACTTGTCACTTCATCATTATGTAAGATGTGAAGGGTGACTTGTGTCTAAGCATTTGATTCTCAATAGATTTTCTTTTGAAATGAGTACATGAGCCAGAGTACAAATATGAAATCAATCGAATTGAGGTTAATTCTGCCAGAAAAAGTATTAACAACACGTTTTGTCGATTCTTTGAAAAAGTCACAAAAAGCAATTCAATCAAACGAGTAAATCAGTTAATGAAAAACCATCTACTGTTTTTGTAATTGAACTAAATTTCGCTTCTCAATAAGATTCTATGTATATTATCATTTGACACGTATTCAAAAAGCTTAGTTGTTACAAATTTGTATATCTATAAGCAGAAATGAAGAAGAATTAAGCGATATCATTTTCTTTTCTTTATTCAGTTTCGTTTGCGTTCTTCTTTCCTCATGTTTCAAAGGTGCTTGTGTTGTTTTTAAACCATCTGAGAGAGATCTTCGAATACAATTCTGATGCTATTCTGTCAATACAAACATCAAATACAATTCTTATTATTTTACAAGATCCTATTTTTTTCGTCAAGGCTTCAGAAATTAATTTCCTTCTAATCTCTCTTGCTTTTTTTTACTAACAAATTCATCTACAAAATACTTGTTCCACACGTGTTTAATAAGGAAAAAGTATTATTAATTCAAGTGTATGTATTTGTGACGTTGTCGTTTGAGGAATGGTTTATGTTCTTCTGTAATACATATCTAATACAGTCTATATCTACTCTCATTCGCTAGCTTAGTTTGGGAGAATATGAATGATTTTGTTGGAAAGAAGATGCATGATTTGAATGTAACAAAGGGTAATACCAAGGTGTCGTTTGCCATATGCTTTTACATGAGAAGAATTTCAATTTACGTGCATATTCGAATGACATATAAAGATCAATGAGAGCACTTTCATAACTACGAACAGAAGTCTACCTGCTTCACAAAGAGTAGATATAGCGACATAGCCGACTAAAGTGGAAGACATTGTCGTTTTTGACAGAACGGATATAGCATGGACTCTTTCGCATGAATGACACGGAGTAAGAAGAATTTTGTTTAAATCCTTGTCTTTTATTTTGATCGATAAGAATAATACAGATTATATTGACCTTACACAAAATCTCAAATTCTATTATAGTTGTTCGTATAATTCGACTATATGGATGATTATCAAGGAAATCTTATTTTTTAGAATCGATACTTTGAAAAGCTTATCTATTGATATCAAACGAATTTTTTATCCGAATCTGAAAGAGAAGTAGAGCATACAAAAAAACGATATCATTGTGCACATAGGTCAACTCTACAAAAAGATTTCTTTTGAAAATTTTCATAGCATCGAAATAAAAGCACAAGGATTTAAACAAAACTCTTCTTACTCCGTGTCATTCATGAGAAAGAGTCCATGCTATCCGTTCTGTCAAAAACGACAATATTTTCTACTTCAGTTGGCTATGTCGCTACATCTACTCTTTATGAAGCAGATAGACTTCTGTTCGTAGTTATGAAAGTGCTCTCATTGATCTTTATATCTCATTCGCATATGGCAAACAACAGCTTGGTATTATCCTTTGTTACATTCAATTAATGCATCTTCTTTCCGACAAAATCATTCATATTCTCCCAAACTAAGCTAGGGAATGAGAGTAGATATAGGCTGCATTTAAANGCCAGCATCATATATCTACGCACTCGTGGAATATCATCGATAATATTCAAATTTTACATGAATGTAAGAAAGACCGAGATGAACATTTAGTTAAAGTTATTACAGAAGCTCAAGTCGAAGATGACACAATCAATCCTGAACTATTTCCAAAAAATCAAAGTTCATACGATGAATACGATGATACAAGTGACAGCGAAGATTTACTTGAATTGCTCGGTAATCTAAACGATTCTACTACAGTTGCAATGAACAGCATGAAGAGATCAACAGAAAATGTGTATATAGAGGAAACTATAGAAACCGTAGAAAAAATGGGGCGATTCTCTCATACACACAGTAAGCGATATCAATTCCTAACGACTCAGCTTTAAAATAATGTTATTTTCTAGTAGCATCAAATCAAATTTTAATAAATGCATCATATGCTGATAATTATCAACAGATATTACCATTTGTTTCTTCAACATTTGATCTCGTTCGACTCAATACTAAATGGCAAGAACAACTAGAAATTGAAAGAGAACGAGTTAGAAGAAATCTAATCACTGGTAAACATTATAAAACAGACGATGAGTCAAATAATGACGATATGGAAGATACAGTCGTAACACTGATAAATTCAACTAGCTCAAATATACACATATCTCATAATTATAACTCAATTCTTCCAGTTGCTTCAGTTATAAGTATAACATACTATAATCAAAAGACCATTGCCGTTCAATATACACTAAACAGAGAGCAAATAGCTGCATTTATGATAATAACAAGTCATCTTGATGGTGACAAACAGACACATGCAGGTATGTTCGTGTACATAATTTGATATATTATCATCAATTGAAAAATATTAAACATATATAGGCAGTAACAATGGTCAACTCATCATGTGTGTACCAGGATGTGGCGGTAGAGGAAAATCCCAACTTATTCGTGCTGTTACTGAATATTTTGTTATTACAAGCAGAATACAAAAGATGCGAAAGCTGGCACCTACTGGCATTGCAGCCGCTCAAATTGGTGGTATGACTATTCATTCATTTTTAGGCGAACAACGCAATTCTGGAAAGCCACGAACTATTAAACCAGGCGACTTGAAACTTGAAAAAGAATGGACACTTGTAGAATATCTTTTGATTGATGAAATGAGTATGGTTGGTTTGACTTTACTCGGCAAACTCAACCGAATTTTTTGTGCCGCTAAACATGTCGATCCTCAAATTCCATTCGGTGGTATAAACGTTATATTCTTTGGTGATTATCTACAGTATCGGCCCGTCTACGATGCCCCATTACACACTGACTTTTCGCCNAATTACTTGAACGACTTCGTCAAGGTCAATGTAGTTATGAAGATTATGAATTATTATTGACGCGCGTTGTGGGACAGCCAACCGTATCTCTTCGTGAGCCACCATGGAATCAAGTAAAATATATTTCTCTACTCTAAATAAACATATTTTCTCTGTTTTTCTTTGTTTTAGGCTCCCATGCTTGTATTTAGAAATGAAATACGAACGCAATTGAACCACAGTTCAGCAATTCATAATGCAGTAGAAGTCGGTACCAATCTAATGGTATGTGTCGCTCAGGACCTTTGTAAAGGCAAGGCTGTGAAGGAGGCGGCACTTGTGAAAAAATTATTAGAACTATCTGATAGTAAGACTGAACATTTACCGGGTTTATTACCATTAGTTCCTGGAATGCCAGTTATTATTACACAAAATATTGCTATTGAACTGGGATTAATTAATGGCGTGAATGGAATCTTCAGACAACTAGTTTATGATATTGATTCAGTATCAACAGGTAGTCTTTCAAAAACTTTTCCAATGAACACCCAATATGTCCATAAGCCAATATATGCATTGGTGGAAATAGGCAAATCAAAGATTGAATGCAATCTTTAAAATCTTCAACCAAAAGTTATCCCAATACCAATAATGGAACAAACATTTCAGGTTGACATTTCTGATATTCTTCCGAAAACAAGCAACAAAAAATCAAAAACAAATAGAAAGGCAATGTTATCGATTAAGCGACGCGCATTACCGCTCGTGCCTGCCTATTCTATTACAACCCACAAAAATCAGGGACAAACTTTAAACAAAGTTGTAATTGATTTAAAGTTACCAAAGGGTACAGATGATATCGCTGCAGTCTATGTACCATTATCAAGAGTCAAACGTTTAACTGATTTGATTATTTTACGACATTTCGATTACAAAGTCTTGCTCATTAAACCTAGTAAATCTCAAGTCGCCGAGATGGAAAGACTAGATAAACTCTTCGTCGAATCACAGATGCGTTTTTCAGAATGGTTTTAACAAATTTTATAAAGCACACCAGATTTCCATTACTTCTCATCTATTTTCCGCGATCTGATTAATTTGTGTCTTTGGTAACTGTAGAAATATCTTGTAGAATTCAAATTTCTTTCTATTCACTTATTGTTTGTAAATATGAGTGCAAGTTTTGTTTTTAGTTTTACTGTAAATACTATATTTTGTTTCGCTTTCCTAGTTTGTATTCGTTCATATTCAATATTATTCACTTGTCTTTTCTTTTATGTAGCCGATCATTATATCATCAGCGCGTCTTTATTTCAAAGAAAAACAAATAAATAAAGTTTATATCGAAAAACAACTTCTCCTTAGTGAAATAAAGAATAGCAAATCTCAAATAGATCATATATTGTGATATTGACAGTCGAGGGTAAAGCGAGTCATCTGCGACGAGCCTTATTTATCTTTTAATTGGTCAGAAGATTTTTACCAAAACAACAAAACATATTCAACTGTTTTTCTTTGCTTGTTCAATCATTGAAACATCTTTATATATCGATTCTTTTCAATTGTTTACTCAATGAAAAAATGAAATTTTATTTTGTCAATGGTAACAAATTCCACAATTATTCTTGTAATTATGCAGTTAAAGATTGAAGGAAAATTTTCAGACTTTTCTTCATTTCGATTCGTATTTTCTCATCAATCAAAATTGAAGTCGATGATCCTTTACTGATAATTGCTGCTTGATTGTTGATGAGACATTCTTACTATTCTTCATAGTTAAAGATTCAATTATCTATGTAAATAATAAAACATACAAATGAATAAAATGAAAAGAAAATGACAATTACTGTGTTATATCGAAGTGCATCGGCGAGACACAATGCACCTTTGTCTGTGATTTCATTGCCAGAAAGATCAAGACCGATTAAATTCTATGCATAGGAAGAAAAACAACAATTTAAGAAAGATAACAAACAATGATAGTTACGGTGTTATTTTTTAATGCACTGGCAAGATATTGTACACCATTATCTCCTATTTTATTGTATCTGATATCTAATGTTTTGAGCGTCTGTATGGGAAAATAAATAAGAGAGAAATAAAAAGTCAATGTAAGTCACCATGTTAGATCGAATAGATTCAGCGAGATATTGAGCCCCTTCGTCTCCGACTTTATTTGAGTCAAGAACTAATGTGATCAATTTCTACATATAGAGAGAATATCAAATGCAAGAGAAATCAATACATAACAATAGTCACTGTATTAGTTTTTAATGTATCAGCAAGATAACGTGTACCATTATTTCCTATTATGTTGTTCTGCAGGAATAGTCTTTCGAGTCTCTGTTTTTATAGTAAAAAATAATAATTAATTATGCAAGAGAAACAAAAAGACAATGAAAATCACCTTATTGTATCGCATAGCATCGGCAAGATGTTGTGCACCTTCCTCTGTAATTAAGTTCGTATAAAGATTCAATGAAACCAATTCCTATAAAGAGAGATGAAGACAAATACAGAGAAGATAACAATATAATAATAATAATAATAACTGTATTAGTTTTTAATGCATCGGCAAGATATCGAATACCATCGTCTCCGATTATATTGCTTGAAAGATCTAGTATTTTGAGTTTCTGTATGATGAAAGCAATACGAATAAAAGAAACAAAAGAATAATGAATGTTACTGCATTATTTTGTAGAGCATTAGCAAAATATTGAGCACCTTTCACACCAATTCTATTATTATGAAGATCCAATCGAGTTAATGCCTAGATGTGGAGAATAGAATAAAAGCTTTCAGCGCAATCCCTAACGGGATTAAAAATGTGAAACACGATCCAGCCAGAGAAACTTTGAACACATAGAATGGTCAATTTATTTCCCAGTCTGCATTCCCATTTATCTAAACTTAAGCTGTTGAAAGTAACATATCATTCTCAATAGCGAAGTCTGCTGCTTTGTAAGAAACTTTTCCTTGATCGATCACTATATGTGATGCTTCTTGTTGCGCTTCCACTAAGCCATCATGATCTGTGACGCAATCTACGCGCGTCAATGTAACGAAGTTCAGAATGAATTTTTCTGTGAGACAATGACACACAGTTTCTTTGCCTTTTCTCCTAAACACCTCTCTCTATCTTCATTTTTTAGGCGCACGCTTTTACAGAAAACAGAGAATAGCTGCCAAGGACTGCCGGTAACGGTCTGTGATGCGTTCCCCCCTCCGCGTCTGTAACGTCTGTGGGCGGGGGGGTCCAAATTTCTGCCCCTACACACTTCAGCACTCTCTTTCAAATCGTGTTTCACAATAAAGAATGAATATTACTTCATTATGTTGTAAAGCATCAGCCAGATGTTTTGCCACATTTTCATTAATTGAGCTGTAGTGCAGTGTCAAACTTGTGAGCATCTTTATAAAACATACGAAGACACAAGAGATAAAAGAAATGAAGGAAAAAAAGAAGAAGAATAATAACTTTATTCTCTAACATGGCATCAGTGAGATATTTTAAACCATCAACGCCAATTCGATTTCCACTGAGGTCCAAACTAGTTAGTATCTATAGAAGAAAGAAAATAAATATTAGATTAGATAATGTCTAGAATCAACTCTTGCACATGTGCAGTCGAAAATTTCTGAATGAGATATTTTGTCGGGTTTATACTTCAATCACATATCAGTTTTTTTCATAATTATAGTAGAATAGAATCTAATTGTGGATGTAAGTAATACACTCGAGCATCATATCTTTTATCAACAAGTTTGATCCATACTGAAAAGTTGCTCGTAAACATCGGGCCAATAGTATGATCTTATCATGTTTTCTTTATCCATCGAAGATACTACTACTTATTTGTAATCTCATTTTCTATTTTCATATCTCTCAAAGTGACATTCCTGTTTGATCGTCTATATCGAATATTGAGTAGAGCTGTAGGAACACATCAGTATACACAAACATCACTCGATAGATTACTATGATTTATCATCATTTCATTGAAAATTTTCCATCTCAAAATAAGTATATTGACATATTGGTTTATAAGAACGAATCATCAGATGATTATGGTGATTCTCTCTTGTCGCCATACACTTTTTAACTAAAACTATTCAACTTTTCTTACTTGGTTATTTCTTATTGCGTAGTATGCCACTATTTCCATATCGTCATCAGTTAAATTCTGGAAATGTATCTCTAGACGTGATAAATTCTTGTTCGTCTCGATGATTTTCTCCAGTACAGGATTACGATATACTGGTGGTAAAACTGCAATGATAAGATAGTAGATGTATATCATAGTAAACCGTTGTTCTTATTAGATCATCAACAAAATTTTTGTTTTTTCTCAACGTTCTATAAACTATTTTCTGTCAGACGAGTTCGATGAACTTTTAACAATAAGTACTCTTCTATTACCGATACATGAAATCATAAGATATACATTGTTGAGAGCTGTTCGAATTTTTCTAATTGAAAGATTACAAAAACAAACGTGGTTCAATGAAGTTTTTCACAGAATATTCTATTAGAAGAGTCGAAAAATCTCATCAGAATCTCAACTAAGATGAAGTATTATTACGTAGTTGTTCTAACTTTGGTTTACAAACCCAAATACCGAATGTCTTTCATCAAACAACTAAGAATTAATTATAAATTCGACTTTTTTTCGTTTAGGAGACATGATGTCATTCAAAGCAATTAAACTCATTCAAATAGTTGAAGAATTTACGATCTTTTATCTTCGTCTGATCATTTTAGTTTTATCGAAAAAAAAGAGCTTACCTACTGCTGTTGTAGTAGTGACACTTGTGGTAATTGTATTGCTTGTAGTCGTTGTCACTGTGATATTTGTCACTAATCATTGAAACAAATCATTTAGATTAAAAATTGATTAAGATCCAATATGTGCTTTGCTATCAGTTTTATTAATCCATATCTTTAGTCTTACATAAAAGATATTCATTTACGTGTTTTAGGGGCTAAATACTACTTTGAACAAAATCTATCTGTTCAATAGAAGCTAAGAAATAGAGATCTCACTGCCGATTCTTAGTATCTTAACAATAATATAACTGCGATTAAGATTTGATACTTCGAATGATTATGTCGACAGTTTTTGGTTGATTTGAATTCATATGATACATATTTCCTTACTAGTTGGTATTGGTGGACATATATTTTCATCAAGCATTGATAATGGATAACAAACAGGATTCTGACTACATCGATGATGATGAACACAGATATGATTTGGTTCAGAACAATCTTGTGATGATTGACATGGAGGAAGATGAGAACAAAATTTCCATAAGAAAGCACAAATACCAACATTCTGAGTACCAACCATTGGAAAACATCCACAAGCACTATTCTTCGAACATCGACTATATGAAGATGTACTATAACATATTTGTGAATTGATTTGAACTATTAAATAGAATTATATCTTAATAATAAATATATCAGATGAAATAATAAATAGGCAAACCTCTAAAATAAAAATCAAATACATTTTTTTATTAATTAGAAATATAACATTTGAAATACCTTAAAAGAAGAAAAAATAAACAAATTGTTGTCCTTTTCATCTTCATTGTAAATTGAGTTTGAATGAAAATGAAAGATTTGTTTTTTTTTTATAAAATATCATTTTCATTTATTCGAAATATTTAATCCTTCGATAGTTGACAAAATGATTTTGCTATGAAAATCCTTTGTTTCATGATTCATATATTTCATTTTTTAAGGGATTGTGCGAACACTTTTTATCAATATTGATTGATTTATTGTTTTTCTAAGAAAAACAAAAGCAAATGATTGAAAGATTCGCTATAGAATGAAGTTTTCATTTTTTTTCATTG